TTTATTATTATTATTATTATTATTATTATTATTACTATTATTAATGGTTAGTGGTTATTATTATTATATTAGGTAGTATTATTATTTATGGTTAGTTAATTATATTATTATTAGAAAGTAATATTCTATTGTTAGGATATTTGTTACCATTTATAATTAGGATTCCTATATTATTTAGTTTCCTTCTATGGTAAGGATTCTTTAGATGTCCTAGTTATAAATGTATCCATTTCAATAAATTATTTATCAATGAATAAAGAAAATACTTTCTCCTAAACCTTAACCTCTCTTTCTCACCTCTTTTGTTCTTGGAGCTTGAAGGTGCTCGAAATCCTTCTCTATCCCGATACGATTCCGTATCACATACCCGGAGTACTTGTTATCCCCTCCCATTCAAACACAATCATGTGTTGCATGTGTACTCTCGTTCAAATGTATCTCATTAGACAACGACGACTCACGACTAATTATAAGTCTTTGAGCGGAGTCTAAAGAGGTTGAATTATTTCTACTTATCTTTCTAAAACTTAGCTAGTTTTTTTTATTTTTTTTGTCTTTCTAAATTTTATAAGTTAAATCATCTCTATAGATTTTTAATTTTTATAAATAGTCTTTCCCCGGTTGAAGTATAAATTTTGATTCCGGTATAATTTTTAACTTTGTTTAGTCCTCAAAAAAGTTTTTGGTTCATTCATTTCTATTTTTTTTAAAGAAATCACCCTAAATAAAGGTAACCATTGAGAAAGTATGTGGTATTGCACATAGACATTTCATTTCTATGTTTTTATCCTCAAAATAAGAGTTCACATTATGGTAATGTGGTACTGTACATAGACATTTCACAATACATTTTGGTAACGTATATGGTCACGATTGGGAATGTATATGAATTTTAACTCATATTTCAAGAATAAAAATATGAAACTCCTATTTTGGTATATCTTAAATATTTTATTCATACTTTAGTCTATTCCCCTTTTTTTTAAATGAGTAAATTCCATAAAAGATCCCCAGTTATAGATCGTTTTACATATTTAGTCCCTACATATCAAATATTACTAATTTAGTCTCCAATTATTATATTCATTTCCACGAATGGTCCTTTGTTAACATTTCCGTTAAAAACGTGGATAAAATTATAAATTCACACTGTTTTCTCTCTTCAATTAAGCTTCTTCCCTTTCCTCGCACTCTTTTCCCAAACCCGCCGCTGAGTTTGAAACTTTGAACCCAAAACTAAAATTATCATTCTTCTCTCAATTGGTTGTCGAACCAGTGGTACCCCAATTCGAAACCAGTAACCTTCATGGATGAGTTTTAATATTTATTTTCTTTGCAATTTCTTGAGACTAACCGATAAAACTCATCCATAAAGCTTATTAAAAGAAGAGTAATCATTTTTCAGTTTTGGGTTTAGAGCTTCAAACTTAGCGACGAGTTTGAGAAAGAGTACGAGAGGAGGGAGGAAGCTTAATTG